CAAAATACTGCATTATTTGGCAGGTTTTAATGGAGTTCCACTTTTTTTGTTACAAAATACTGCATTATTTGGCAGGTTTTAATGGAGTTCCACTTTTTTCGTTACAAAATACTGCATTATTTGGCAGGTTTTAATGGAGTTCCACTTTTTTTGTTACAAAATACTGCATTATTTGGCAGGTTTTGCAGGTGGAGGTATTGGTGGGACATGCCGTAAATCACTTACTGAAAACATTTTTTGTGTGTAGATCCTGCGCAAGGCTCGGTCGCCCCACGAGGGAGAGAGCGAGGATGAGCAAGCCATCATGCTCTCCCTTGTCACCCGAGACCAGTTGATCCGGATCCTGAAATACCTGCTGGATGAGGAGGAGTTTCTCTCTCCCTACGGGATACGGTCGCTCTCCAAGGTGAGTGTCTCTCTCCCTACGGGATACGGTCGCTCTCCAAGGTGAGTGTCTCTCTCCCTACGGGATACGGTCACTCTCCAAGGTGAGTGTCTCTCTCCCTACAGGATACAGTCGCTCTCCAAGGTGAGTCGTGTGGTATAAGATCCCTCTCTAAGGTGAGGCGTGACGTGTGGATATGTTAAACCTTACGGCATAAGATCTCTCACTAAGGTGAGTCGCGACACATGTTGCCATGTTAAACCTTATGATATAAAATCCCTCTCTAACCCTAAGTCCAAATTTTGGGTGGTATTTGTGACTGCTCTGTTTCAATCTGTTTGAAAATATCGTAATAGAAAACCTTGTTCAACGCTGAGATAATGATATGTACATTCATTAAAACAGTACACGTCTATCCCACCAATGTAGATACACTCCAGTACAAGCGAGAACACACTTTTACGATTCTTTGATTTCTCACAATTTTGCCAAGTCTGATTTTTTAGAGTTGTTTTTGGGTGGCCATATCTTGGGCGTCTCTTAATATAGATGAAATATTAATGTGTCAGATGATGCAGAATTTATTTAGCTTTAAATTGGTATGCAGCATGAGTGGGTAGTGCAAGGTTTTAACCCCATGACTGAGTGGTTACATTTGACAGTTTCGTTTGGCCGTGGCTGTTTTAGCCTGAGTATATCAGTGTATGTATGGCAACTCAGTGAAATCAGGTGCTCTTCAAAATATGGAAATAAAAGAAGACAACATTTTTCTGCCTGTTGAGCAAATTTTATTAATTTTTGTGTGTTTGGCTCAACACCTTTGATGTCCATTAAAAAAACACATGTCTGTTTTGATTTGACGGAAAAACGTTGGTGAAAGGAACAAACGTGTAAATTGACAGTTTCCAAGGACGCTACAGATTTGGAAGTCTTCAAACTTTGGCGGCCATTTTCTCGCTACTTTGACCTCAGACACGAGATGACCCCCACCCCCGTCAGTCAAAAATATCTCAACTTCTAGTCAAGATAGACGAGTATTTTGTCCGTTCAAAGGAAAGTAAATGAACAGGCTTTAAGATTCTACAATCACTCCGTGTGTCCCTAAATGAAAGATCACCTGATTCCTCCGTGTCGTGGCACGCTCCACTGCACTGTGGCACATGTTTGTATAAGTGCACTGTGGCACATGTTTGTATAAGTGCACTGTGGCACATGTTTGTATAAGTGCACTGTGGCACATGTTTGT